GAACTGTCGACCACCGGTCGGCAAGCGTACAGCCAGTGTAAATATTCCGGATCGGTAGTTACTGCACGGTTCAACCGATATCGGTGTAGCCATCTCAAAACAAAACAATTTTCCACATGTAAAAATGACAATAATTAGGTGGCACAACAACACTAAGTCTCCTCGTTGCAACAACCGTTTACCCCCCAGCAGTACAAGGACGAAACACGGCTAGAGTCAAAATGTTCAAGTTTTTGTTTTTCAAAGAACTGTCATTTCAAAAGAAGGTGCCATTTCCGCAACAAGCCAATATGTATTTAAACTTAGAATTTCGAAAATTCAAAATGCAAATTTATCGCAAAAAGAAATGTGTGAAATGCTGAGCGCTCGAAAATTTACACTTATGTGCAAGGAAACATAATACCATAGACGGGCATGGATACGAAAATTTTGCAAATATGAAATTATGTAACGCTTACCAAATTGGCTTGAGGAGATGTGAGTTCGAGCCTCACAGAAGCGAATGGGCGAGAAGCCATTTGCTCAATTTCATCGTAGCGCCTCTGATTTCTTCGGAATACTTCAATGCGTAATTTGATCATCCACAATAAACCCGCAACAACAAGGAGAACAACAAAACACCTGCAACTCATATTTCGCTGAAGCAAAAAAAAAATCGACAAGTCAATTAGTGTTATATGTGCTGCAGTAAAATAGCACTTTAAAAAAACTAGAAGTCCTGCACTGCCATAATTCGTAATATCTGAAGAGGATGGAAAAACAATGCTCGGTAGCATGAACAGTGCTAACAAAAGTCCATTTTTTTGGTAAAAAATTTAAGCTGGCATGAAGTCAATTACGTCCGGCATGAACTATTAACTCATTTGACACTCTGATTAACTAACCAATTTTAAACGATGAGAATCCAAGTAGCAATAACTGCCTTCACTATGAAGCAAGCAGTACTATACAGCACTACATTACATTATTACATCGACAACTGACGTAACTATAAATGAAAACTTACGCGGCAAAAATCACAAAAAACAGGACCCAATTTATCGGAGGTGACTGCGAGAACGAAATCTGAATTTTGATTGGAGTGGAAAAGTTGTAAACCTTAACCTGAAACACAAAATTGTCTGTGTTATACGCCAATTTGCTTAGAATACTTTTGAATTCTCTGTATAAAAGATACGCCCCAAACTTTAATCAAACAGTAGTATACTTATAATCGGACCAGTTGTAATTCATAACCTATTTTTTCAGCCAAGCAGTTGGCAACTTTTCCAGTTGCTTTAGCTGATTCCGCATCGCCCGATGATAAAAATGCTGGAGATCCTAATATCTGTTTCGCTTTCTGAAGAGATTACTAGCACAAAGTTTTTCCCCACTGAAGCACTCGCCAAGGAATTAGCTGTTTAGAGGTGCCAACGGTGCACACTGCATTAATACCTCATCAAAAATTGTTGCCAATCCTAACCTACGGACCAATAGGGAACAGTATCATCATACACACAGAGATTTGTCAGCTGTTAAAGTCATCCACGGAGTATCGATGAGCAACTCCCAATGTCAATGAGGCGCAGCAATGCATCCAAATATATATACCAAATCATCCTCTCCTCTTGCCCACTTACATGTAGTTTTTGTCCACCTTTATCATGTAGATGCGTCACTCGTTCGAAGATGAGTACGTGACGCTTAACAGTGGTCGACAGAACAAAAACGGCAACTTCTCTAACGCTGCATTCACAATCACGGCGATAGAATGTATGCCCCTTAAGTGCCTCGTTTTTTTCACTGTAAGGAAGGCGCAAGACCAAATTGCATGCGCAGGGATAAAACAAGGTGCACTTCAAAGCCCAAATTACAAGCAACTTGTTTTGAAGTATTCGTTACTTAGTAAACGCACGCCGCACCCTTCTACATAGTGTGAAGGAAGTGAAAACAACATCTTGGACATGAAAACTTAACGACACCGGCCGTGCTGCAGAATGAATTCGCACTGCATCGTAGTCCATCGACAAGCATTCCGCCCTGACAGCAATTCGCCAAAAAAG